GATATCGGCACTGAAATCCGACAGCTGGTTGATTACTATCGGCTCTGTCAACTTTATCATGGGCGTCACCGACCCCGAGTGTGTCTTAACATTCCTGGGAATCTTCAACGAGGCAGCATTTTCTGAGTAGATACTTTACAAAGATGAGTACAAGTCGTTATATAATGACATTATTCAGTTTACACGTGTGAGTGACAAATGAATTTATCCAAACGGCTTGAATGCAGAAACAGGGGAATCCTATCACCTGGTTGGTCGATTAAAGGTCACCACGAGACGTCACGAGTGTGACCAGAATCCCCTGGTATGAGGGAAGGAAAATTCAGCGAGATTGATATTCGATTTCAATTCTCAAATGCATCGTCGAAGTCCATAAAGGAATGTTCTGACTTTCCCATCATCTCGGAGGGATGAAACCCATAGATGATAATGATGATGGTGATTTGTGGAGGTATTAAACAGGAGATAAACCAACTGTCTTTTTAATATAGAGCAAGGATACCTATAGACTTAATAGCACTCACTATATTCTTGAATTGAAGGTGAACAACGTCGCCATGAATTACTGCAAAGAATATTATCCACTGATGGTGGACGTCAAAATCGAATATTTTAAAAATCTATAGTACGCTGTAGAATATTTTTGTTGTGCTTTAAAGTATGTTCCAAACAATTATGATTATGATTGACATTAAAGGTATTGTTTTCTCTTCAGCTCAAGACACAGAACTATACTTTAACGGACGTAAAACAGGCATCACGGATCCAACTGCTTTCGATGTCCCCATCAACTGTTGAAATGGGCAGCAACACTTCAACTGTTATCCCTGTTATTGTACATTTCACTTTCACAATTTATAAATAAGTCAATAAAAGTTTCAAAATATATTATTAATGGCAAGTTCTGTTTTCAATTACAAGCACAACACCACAAGAGGCGCTACCCTTTCTGGTGATGGCATATGTGTAACAAAAGTCAGCAGTGTGGTTAAACTGATGTTTTCTAGTGAGTGAGTTTAGGTATACGCCGTAATATTCCAGCTACTAGTTTTTGGCGGCAGTCTGTCAATAATCGAGTCTGGAACAGACAATCCAGTGATCAACAGGATATAACACCAAGCACAGGTTGCTAATGAATCCAAACATTGGACGAAACTGGTCATGTCATGTCATGACGTTTTATGGTAGACACGTGGAAGACACTTGGCGCATCACTGACAACAAAGTATGTCCAATGCCATTCCCAATTTTTCATTGGATCTATATGTTCCCATGCTTTAACGTTGACAATTGACATGCCTTTGCCTTTGACTGTGGAGGATGGGACAGGAATAGGCAATTTACTTTTTTGCAACCGCTTTGTATCATTACTATTTAATAGCAATAGCACAATTGAGTCGACTCTCCCTGTAGCAGGCACGAGCTTGGAATAGGCGGCGTACTTTTTCACACATTTTGTCGTTTTTGTGTAAGAGCTGTATTCACAACCGAGAACAGGAAAAGAAAAAATGATTATCGTCATCTCATAATATTCATCTTGTAGTGTTTCTGCAAGTATACCAGGTCATTGTAGTGGACATAATATAGCTTGAATGTTGTAATCTGTGGCATTAAAACATTCGTGTTTGGTCTGGCAAAACATCTGTTTATGAATGGTCAATTAAAGGTTTTACTACACAATGACCAATAAACGGTAGATATACACATACTTATTCAGCCGTAAATCTCAAACTTAACGAACGAGTTCAAATCGACCATATCAGAACGATTCTAAGATGAATTGGTTCTAACCATGTATTGAGGACATTAAACTGACCCTAATAATTTACCTTTCTGTAGCAAAAGCAAGGGCGTAACAATTGTTCGAACATGCGATGAACTGAGATTATAGCGAGTTGGAATGACGAAGCTTGCCTTTCTTGGTTAACAATGGTTGCGTGTACATGCATGAATGTGAGCTTACACGCAAACAGAAATACATGTAAAGAGCTTCTTATCCTCTGAAACGGCAAATACATGATACAAGCGCAATAGCTGAAAAGTACTTCCGCACAGGTTTCAATTGCCCCCGCCCCATCCCACCTACTGAACCTTTCAACTATACATTCAGTGTGTTTAGATACAATTCTCACTGTTCTGATTATAATGCACATGGTCTGACGAAACCTTTGTGAGGACTTTCTGGCGTTGTCCACTGATGGTTACCTCAATGTCATTGGAATCTGTTGCCAATAGGGATCCAAGCACTCCATATGCATGTAGAGGCCAATAAACTTCCTGTTAGCCTGTTTTAATAACACACAAACACGCACTCACACAACCACATCTATATAGATCAAGGACACTCTATATGGATATATACATAAAGAGAATACTAAACGATGTCCCGTGTAATACCATATTTATGAAACGAGTAAATGGTTTGGTATCTGACGAGCGAAAGAGATTAAGACACCATTTCCATTCACGAGTGTCATGAATATAGTATTACACGGGACATAGTTTAGTATCTTATTTATTACTCACCCAACATTAGCAAATTAATATCGAGCAAAGTACTTCTTTCCTAAGAATTCAACGAGTGTGATGACTCTCAGCTTTCCGCGAGTGAAGCAAGGTCTAATACTATTGTGACAGAGGTATTAGCATTGTGACGTCATAACTGTAAACCACTTTGACGTTATCCTACGGCATCACACGATGTTATTACACAATGTGTAATAACAAGGTAAAATTATTAAACAGTGATATCTTCAACGGGTGAGTAATGAATGTATATACATGTATTTATATATATGTATGTAGTGTCCTTGATCTTTGTATGTCGAAAACTTTGACAAGCGGAATCTCATTTTTACCGCATTTTTGTCTTTTACGGAGAATGAAACCCATATCTCGGAAAATCGGGACTGTTATCGGGCGTTAGCTTGATATATTACGTACGTTATACTCACAGAAAATGTTTGAGATAAATGGAATAATTACCATGTGGATGACAAAAATCAAAAGGATTTTCTACCCGTGAGGCGACTTGCCCCAACTTATTCACATACACATTCACTTGTGCAAACTGACGTATAAACAACTGATTGAATTAAGGAACTTAAGGAACTTGATAATGAAGAGTTAATGATATGGTATTTTTTTTAAAATAGGTTGAAGTACATGTTCGACTAAAATTGGCATACCATAACAAGTTTTCTAAAAAGGTATGCATGCATCAAGTGTTAGCTATAACCTGAAAAATACTTATCTCTTACAAATCTTACAACTCTTGCAAGTTTTGTATTTCGTTGTACAATTTTCAAACTAGTGGGTAATTTTGTATAAAGAGAATTACTCTGTATCCCTAAAATTTACACAACTGCAAGTAGCATGTCGAAATAACCCACATCGGCCTAAATAGATGTGTAATAGGATACTCAGAAAAGCATGTTTACTCGTAAAATCAGGCAAAACTTAGAAAAGTTCGAATAGCTGCTGAAAACAATAGATCAGACTATACATGGCAATTAGGTTGCCCAGCCAGGTATGACGACGGACCGTCGACACACCTGGCATGAAATGCATGTGCTGCCTACAGGCACACAGGGTCATCTCAAAGATATTTTATGCTTGTTCATGTGTATTGAATATGTTTCATCTATTGATTATCATCTTACGTGTCTTTCATATCTTTTATGTTTGTTAAGACATGCCGTTTACTTCCCCCAGTTTTATTCCCCTAAAGGATTATCTTATCTTAGCTGATATCTCTATCCCCCAGTCCGACCCCAACCACCGTCTGTGATACCCGTCCTGGTTTTGCTTTTGAGACGACCCCTCCTACCTGTTTCTTTTTATAGTGATAGTTAGGCTCCATGGTAGCTACATTCTTAATAGTTTCAGTATTAAAGTAAGTAAATTCTTCCGTCAGCTATCGTTTATAATGAAGCTAAGTCTAGTTTCAAAATAGGCATATAAAAAGTGTCCTTTGAAATACAATATCATCGCCCACTAATTTGCATAAAGCCATGGTCTGTTCTAAATAAGTCGCTTTGTTCATTTCTGCACTAGTCTCTCTTCAGTAAAGTCCTTTTTTAACGTGTCCTACCTCCCTACCACTGAGACTGTAGTTAGGCCGAACTTAGTTTAACAGATATTTCACACTTTCACATATTAACTACATAAATTGTAGATATAAATGTGAAAAAAAAGTGTTTTTTTCTATTTCCGACAGTACTTTAACAAATGAATCTACAGCAAGAAAACTGTTTTAAATTTGGGCTAAAAAATCAATATTGAATTCAAAAGATAAGACATATAACACACCCATAACCAGTTATGCATTATGCGAGTTTGTATTTGTTTACCAATTCACATATACTCATTTTGGTGTTTTTCAGCATGACCCTTCTCATCGATACAACGTCACAGGTCAATCCCATATTTAAACAGAGCTCATAGTGTTGGAAAATAGTCTGTAATGATACAATTTCCTTTTGTTATTTTGGTAGGCGTAAATTAAACATCAAACTAACTACATTTGCATATGTCTATTCAACAATCACTCACACAAATGTGTAGAACCAGGTGGAAAGCAGATAACAAAGTGCCCTTGACCTCAGAAACAACATCGTCCAAATGACAGACATACCTCAATACGTTTCATGTTTCGAAAGGTGGGTTCTTATTGCGAAATATGCACTGAATCGCCATGAACATAATGTAATGGAGAACAGATAAGCTTACTATGGTCCGTTTGCTCGAACAAATATTGACATGTGTTTGCAATGAAGAACCGATGTTTTTGGCTGCATTGTTGCACTTGCATTGACATACATCTCAGTATTTACACACGTTCCAATATTTCAAATATGTATCACTTTCCACACAGTTCTGTGACCTAAAGTGGCACTGAAACGCTATCGATTAACATTGATTGAATAGAATGCTGTTAATGATGTTATTAGTTAAGGATGCAAACATTCGCAGAAACGTATCCAGTGCCTATAAAACTGGAGGCCAGTTGATCACCACCACTCCATCCAACGTCTGACGTCCAACATGCTGCTGCTTCTGGTCACTCTGTCCTGCCTGGCGGCCGTCAAGGCTCAAGCTACACCTTGCTGCATTGGAATCGGTTGGTCAGCCACAGCGTTCGACATTCGCGCGCAGTCCCAGGGAAATAGCGTAAGTATGAAATGATTATTTTTGTGACAATATGAATTTATTTTGTGTGGATATAGTAAGAGATACAAATACCAATTTAATTTACTTGAGAAAGTTAAAAATGACGATGATAAATACAACTTTTAGTAGTAGTAATAGTAGTATATTGTAATATTAGTATTAGTAGTAATAGTTGTAGTAGAAGTAGTAATATTGGTACTTTGTATAAGAAGAATATTTTACAGCAATCTAATAAAAACAAATCAAAAGCAGTTGTAATTTGGCTCTCCACAAGGCTGTATGGCAAAAGGGATGATTTCCACATCCCAATGGTTAACTTCCCTTTCATGTCGAGCAATATTCCAACAGCTCCAGCCTTTGGTGTTTACATTTTAAAACGTTTGAGGTACAATCGAGCATGCTTTTTTTACCAAGATTTTAAAAAGTTTTATACGACTCATGTTCAGAAATTGAAGTCATGATATCTCATAGTAACAATCACTGGATTGTCTGGTTCAGACTCGATTGTTTGCAGACCGCTTCGTACAGCTGTAATACTGGTGAATGCAGACCCAAACACTTACTTATGATGTACATGTAGTCATAATTGTACAATCGACAATTGTGTACGAAAGTGGAAAGGGTTTTGCCGTTTCTGTCTATTGATATTCCTTTACAGTATTTTCAAATCCAGAACAAAACGACTGTAATTACATCCGGAATGAATCGCCTGTTTCTTTTCTATTTTAGATAAAAGCTGACTTCTACTACGACTGGAACAACAGAGCTACTGCCATCCAGTACTATGTGGATGGATCAGTTCAGAAGTCAACCAGAATTGTCACGTCGTATGAAAAGGTAGCACCATTCATTTACAATGGAAATTGTCACCGGCAGAGTATAAATATCATGCGGGGTATAAAAGAGAAGTGGTCGCATCGGAGCTGACTGTTTGCTACTTTTGTTTCAGTACTAGCCACTAAACACAAACAGACAGACAGACAGAGAGACAGACAGACACACACACACACACACACACACACACGGACGCACGCACACACACACGCTCTCTCTCACACACAAGCACGCACGCTCAAACACACACGCCCTCATACACACGCGCACGCTTCCACTCACACCAATTGCGGGAACGCATCACAGGTGGCCCCATCTGATCACACCTTGCCTTAGTACACGCAGGTAATTGAGTTAAGGTTCTAGGTGTTACATACATGTAATTGAAGTACGGTTCTGCGTATTACACGTATTATTGAAATATGGCTCTACGTGTTACATATAGGTAATTGAGGTCTGGCTCTGCGTGTAAAATAGGGGTAATTGAGATGTGATTCTGCTTATTAAATTATTCTAACTGAGGCATGCGTCAACCCGGTATTTGCCGTTCGACGAATTGTTCTTCATTGCTACTCATTTGGATATTGTTATACAGACTAAAAGACTAGACTATTGAAATATGGTTCAACCTGGTAACTATCCTTCAATGTGGTGTGGTTATCCCTGTTGAGTATGGTTCAGTCTGGTTGATTGTATTGTGATGAAACCGTGCAACTGATGTGTAATCTTTTCAGATGCCTACAGTTTATCAAGGTAATCAAACATACGGGTACCCGCAGTCCATCGAGGTACCATGCAGTCAGCTATCACCAAACATTTCCTACATGTGCTTACATTTCAGTGATTATAACAAAATCAGACTTTGGTTTTGGACCCAACATAATTTCAGTACATACAAAACCGTTTAGAATATATGATTTTGAATTTGCAGAATGAACGCTACACCATCGCCGCAGATGGAACATGTACCAAAGACGTCCCAACTGACGTCCTCTTGCCAAACTGCATCCCGAGTACGTGTCAACGTCACAATTGCTCTTTGTTTATTGAATTTCAACAGATGATTATCATATTTTTTACTATCGTAATGTCGCTGTGTAATTGGTGTTGTTCGTATGTGAATAATAGTGAGTGGGGTACCACGTACAACTGAACCGTGTTTTCCTCTGCCTTTGAACCTTTGAGGTTTTATCGTAAAATTGCATTTTAATCATCTAAAGTCCCACGAAGATACATTGTGATGTCATCCATCTTGATACCTGCTTGTATAAACTGTTTCACGTTTTCAATTTGTTCTATTGATACATGTGTGTGTTTAACTTTGTTCTGTTGTCACCTAACAAATATTTCTAATACAACAATTATTATTGTTTCTTAAATTAAATCATTTTTGTTTGGTAACAAAACAGATGTTATATTACTCATTTAAAACAGTTTGGGATATTCCTATAGCTAGGTGGGCTGCAGTGTTTGGGTGCTAGATATACTCTTTTTCCTTCAGTAGTGACCCAGGGATTAGGCTGGGATTATATTTTGAATTTGTTTTGATACATCTAATATAACACATCCTTCCGCGTAGATGACAGTGCAGACCTTGGCTCAAGCTATATCGGCACTGAGGGAAGCGGGTTCAAATCTGCCAACTGGTTGGTTACTATTGGCTCTGTCAACCTAACCTTGGGCGTCACCGACCCCGAGTGTGTCTTAACATTCCTGGGAATCTTCAACGAGGCAGCAGTTCGTGAGTAGATACTATACAAAGATCAGTACAAGTCGTTATATAATGACATTATTCACTTTACACGTGTGAGAGACAAATGAATTTGACCAAACGGCTTGAATGCAGAAGCAGGGGGATCCTATAATCTGGCTGAACCATTAAAGGTCACCACGAGACAGTGTGACCAGAATCCCCTGGTATGAAGGAAGAAAATCCAGCGAGATTGATATTCGATTTCAATTCTTAAATGCATCGTCGAAGTCCATAAAGGAATGTTCTGACTTTCCCATCATCTCGGAGGGATGAAACCCATAGATGATAATGATGATGGTGATTTGTGGAGGTATTAAACAGGGGATAAACCAATTGTGTTTTTAATATAGAGCAAGGATACCTATAGACTTAATAGCACTCACTATATTCTTAATTGAAGGTGAACAACGTCGCCATGAATTACTGCAAAGAATATTATCCACTGATGGTGGACGTCAAAATCGAATATTTTCAAAATCTATAGTACGATGTAGAATATTTTTGTTGTGCTTTAAAGTATGTTCCAAACAATTATGATTATGATTGACATTAAAGGTATTGTTTTCTCTTCAGCTCAAGACACAGAACTATACTTTAACGGACGTAAAACAGGCATCACGGATCCAACTGCTTTCGATGTCCCCATCAACTGTCAATAAAAGTTTCAAAATATGTTATTCATGGCAAGTTCTGTTTTCAGTTACAAGCACAACACCACAAGAGGCGCTACCCTTTCTGGTGATGGCATATGTGTATGAAAAGTCAACAGTGTGGTCAAACTGAAGTTTTCCAGTGAGTGAGTGAGTTTAATTTTATGCCGCACTTAGCAATATTCCAGCTATATGGCAGCGGTCTGTCAATAATCGAGTCTGAACCAGACAATCCAGTGACCAACAGCATGAGCATCGATCTACGCAATTGGGATACGATGACATGTGTCAACCAGCGAGCCTGGCTACCGCTTGATGACGTTTTCCAACAATATTATGTGTCTAAATATGGACTTCAAAGGCCATCATTCAGTGTTGTTCTGAGTGTCTTTCAGTGGGGAAGATGGGCCAAGTTCTGCTATTAGATCAATTACCTGGATGAATAATAATGAACTTCTGAATGATAGAACCATACCACAAATTAATGGGAAATATTATGATGACGTGGAAAAGGACCTGAAATAAGTTCCCAGGTATCGATGGTTATCCTATTGAATGTTTCAAATTCTTCTGGAACGACTTAAGCCCATGGATGTTTAGATTTATAATGGGGATCTTTACTAACAATTCATTAACATGTACAATGAACAGGGGAATTATCACCTGTCTAAGGACAGAAAAATGTTACAAAATTGGCGCCCAAACTCATTGCTCAATGCTCTATATAATATAATCAGTTAATGTATTGAAAACAGACTGAAATAAACCTTGAATACAGTTATACATGAGAATGAAACAGGATTTCTTCCTGATAGATGTATTAGTGAAAACACCAGGATGCTCTATGATATTATTTTTAAACTAAAACATTAAGCAAACCAGGTTTGTTTCTCATAACTCAAACAGCTTTTGATACCATCTCTAAACCTTTTTTGACACAGGTATTAAAACTGTCCAAATATTATAAAATGTGTAGAAATTTTAACCTCAAATTCAACAGTATCAGTTATTCAAAATAGAGATGTAGACCCATCGGGGATTCGAACCCAAACCCTCAGATTCATGCCCTTAATTGCCAGCACACAAAGTCAGACGCCTAGACCGCTCAGCCACCGCGGCTTCCACAACAATGGAAGTCGGACAACTGGTAGTCTAGACTGCGGACTTTGTGTACCCCTCTGATAAGTGTTAATTGGCACGGCTCCCACGGCCGAAAGCTATGAAAATACACAATGCCATTTTAGAAAGTGGTCAAATGTAACATATGTTATATTTGGGATTACACTTTCTTAGTAAAGTACAGCCGCGGTGGCTGAGCGGTCTAGGCGTCTGACTTTGCGTGCTGGGGATTAGGTGCCTGACTCTGAGGGTATGGGTTCGAATCCCGGATGGGACTCAACCAAAAAAGTACTATCTAGAATCTGTACTTTACTGAGAAAGTGTAATCCCAAATATAACATATGTTACATTTGACCACTTTCTAAAATGGCCTTGTGTATTTTCATACGCAATGTCACATAGAGTCATGCTTCTGAATGTGTCTGCTCGTACGAGTATTCGCTCGCTTCATTAATAAGTCACTGTTGTTTCGCTAACGGGAGAGAGGGAGAGACAGAGAGACACTGGGTGGCCTTGATCTTTGGATTTTGAAAACATTTACTAATATTGCGAAATATGCACTTAATGGACTTAGCGTCCATTTTGAAGTCGGACACAGGTTCATGAAGCGGAAGCTGCTCCGTTTGAACGAACTATTACAATTCTATGCTTGTGATGTGGAACCTGTTGAACATACATCGAAATTATTTCCAAAAGATTTTCAACAGTTGCACTCTTTTATAATGTATCAAGCTACTTAGGTGACCATTTAGGAAACAATCCCCGGCGACATGTAAATAGTCGCAAAGATGAATGACGTGACTGGTGTCAGTTTGTCACCGTGTTTACATGGGACGTCGTTATGTGTTACTACTCATGGTCACTCTGTACAAGCTCAGAGCCAACAGTGAGACGGAAAAACAAAGGTCAAACAAAGTGGGTGACGCCCAAACCATGGCCAATGGAAAGATTGTGTTTAGCCTTATACCCTTATCTTTTGGTGTCATCACTGATTATCAGTGCTCTGTTTATGTAATGTTTTACCGCTATTCTGTGCAACGGAATCTTATCGACGGAAAATCGTTATCTTTGGCGTTGGCGTAACATATGTACATACGTTATATGCACAGAAATTATTTGATACAAAAGGAATTTATACCATGTGGATGACACAATCAGTAAGATTCCGACCTTCCGCTCTCCGAGCAGACACACTATCTACTAGGCCTTAGCAAAGATCGTAACTTAAGCATTCGACAGAACAGTTCCATAAATGACCACGACTATAAATGTCAGATAATGTATTTTAGTTCTCGATATACATGCATTCAACTTTGGCCGAGATATATTCTTATCTCGCGTTTATGCATATACCCAATGATATCGAGGTTGCAGAGCACAGGGTCGTATCAAACTGAGATATGGCAGTATTAGATAAGATTTTCTAACATAAAAGTATTATAAAGTACTATTAATATCTTGACATTCTGAGAAGCATAATTTCAGTTAGAAAATTCAGGCCAAGCTATAATTAACTGTGCATTACTAAATCAAGACAATTTTTGTCGGGAAAATGCCTGCAGTAAAATAAACTATAAACATACATATAACACGAAACAGCAAACTAAACGTACTTAAAGAACACATGTGGATGCTTTCGTGTTTCTGGGAGCATGATACTTAGAGACATAGGTTCTGAATGTGACAGCACACAATGCATTGTTGTTAAGTTAATAGGTGGTTAGAAGGGCACTTTTGTTTAAACATGAATAACACTTGTTGACAATCAACTTCGAACAAACAGGAATGGCGCAAAACGAAGTTACCAGAAATATGGTCATCAAATCACAATAACGTCTTTTTGAAGTCAATATCTACTGAAGGGCTTGAGTCATGAGTTGCAACGATCCGGCCCACCACCTGTGGCGTCACGTCAACAAGACAACCATATTCGATTGGTGCATATTCTACCAAGATATCAGGTTGGCAATTCCTGAGCTGAAACCAGTCAGTGGCCGTAGCTTATGGACGCAAGGTCAGGGTCCAGATATACGTCCGGTTTTACTTTTACGTCACCGTCAGGCACGCAGAGCTCTGAGACAGGATGTGAGGTTCAGAATACTAGACTGGGACAGTCCACTGTTGACGGGTCCAGGTTTCATATTGACAACTCTGATGGTACAAGAGGTGTACATGCTTCTGGGAGAACGTTTTACAGATGGTTTTGTTACTTAGCACCGTTGTGTTCACGGTGGAAGTGCAATGGTATGAGATGGCTTTACTATCTATCAGAGAACACAACTAATGATGGTAAGTTGAAATTATAATTCAATGTTAATTTTTAACAATCAGTCCGTCAATAAACTGTAGCTAATTGTAATAGGTAGAAAACCGTCAATAAGTAGCAGTGCTAATGTGCGAACAGATGGCCGTCGAGCTTGATTTCAGAAGATCTGCACAGAAAAATGTATGTCAAGGACGGTGTCCAAACATAATGTCTCAGTACGGACCAGTTCGTGTCACCCACACGTGTAACACCGCCCAAATGAAATAATGAATATCAGAAATCTACACTGCGTAGGTAGGATCGTGATAAGCCAGATAACCAGAGGGTATGATTATATTTCCTTGACCTCAGAAACAATATCGTCCAAAGGACAGACATACCTTGGTACATTTCATGTTTCGCAACGTGGATTCTTATTGCGAAATATGCACTGAATCGCCATGAACATAATCTCATGGAGAACAGATAAGCTTACTATGGTCCGTTTGCTCGAACAAATATTGACATGTGTTTGCAATGAAGAACCGAGTCGTCATGAACTTTAAAACATAATCTCATGGAGAACAGATCTTAATATGGTCCGTTTGGATAGTGAAAACCTGTATCTTTGTGGGAGACAGCCAGATTACGAGAGGGTATCATTACATTTCCTTGACCTTAGAAACAAAGGGCAGACATTTCATGTTTCGCAAGGTGAATTCCTATTGCGAAATATGCACTGAATCATTATGAACGTGAATACAAAATGCCATAGAGAAGAGATAAACTTAATACGGCCCGTTTGCTCGAACAAATATTGTCATGTGTTTGCAATCAGGAACCGTTATATGTTGGCTGTAGTGTCTAACCTGAGGTGACATGCATCTCAAGTTTTACACACGCTCACCGATTTCAAATATGTTTCACTTTCCATATAGTTCTGTGACCTAACGTGACACAGAAACGCTATCAAGTCAAAGTCAATGCTATCGATTACCGTTGATTGGATTGAACGCTGTTCCTGATTTCATCAGGTAAGAAGGAAATAAGTCGCAGAAACGTATTCAGTGCCTATAAAACTGGCCGCCAGTTGATCACCACCATTCCATCCAACGTCTGACGTTTAACATGCTGCTGCTTCTGGTCACTCTGTCCTGCCTGGCGGCCGTCAAGGCTCAAGCCTCACCTTGCTGCATTGGAAACAAGTGGTCTGCAAAAGTGTTTGATGTTCGCGCACCCTTCCAAGGAAATAAGTACAAAACGGTCACATTTATCATAGCGACATGTTTGTGACAAAAGATTTTATTTTGTGTGCACATAAGAGATAACTTCAACTTCAACAGTGCGGTGTACTCGAGAACCCCCAAATAACAATGACAGAATGACAGAAGAAGTTCGTTTGTTGTTTAACGCTGCACTCAGTAATATTAAAGCGTTATCGATATGGCGGAACACCAATTCTAACCCGGATATTTATGGGTACATGCAGTAGTAGTAGTATTGGTAGTAGTAGTAGTAGTAGTAGTAGTAGTAGTAGTAGTAGTAGTAGTAGTAGTAGTAGTAGTAGTAGTAGTAGTAGTAGTAGTAGTAGTAGTAGTAGTAGTAGTAGTAGTAGTTGTTGTTGTTGTTGTTGTCTCCCTCATAACATGTCAAAAGAAGTTACATTTAAATACCTTTGTAGTATTTTCAAATCCAGAACAAAACGAAAGTAGTTACATCTGGAATGTATCTGCTCTAAATGTTCACGTTGAAAATCTCCCTCCCCCACATTGTTTAACAATGTCTGTAAAATCATTCATCTTGCGTTATACATTTTAGATAAATGCTGACTTCTACTACGACTGGAACAACGGAGCTACTGCCATTCAGTACACTGTGTATGGATTAATTGCGAAGTCAACCAGAATTGTCACGTCGTATCAAAAGGTAGCACCACTCATCTGTACATTGGAAATAGTCACCAAAGCCATAGTTAGATGTTGTTCGTCATCCTACCTAGAATTCATTGAGGAATGGTTCAACCGTTAACTGATGCTCTTTGTTTTGTGGACAGAGCAGGGAAGTTGGGTTTCGATTCCTGTAGCAATATCCTGCAAAATGACGTTAAAAGATGGGACGTGCTGTTATCCTGATTGCAGGCAGCGTTAGGGTATACAATAGAAGTGTCCACAATTTGCAATACATCAGTTATATCACCTTTCCTCACCTTTTTGTGAACAGACTATTTGGGCATGGGCACCTTCATTGAGTTCTTCCTGCTTATTTCGGAATGGTTGTACGTTTTACAGACATGTAATTGTCGTGCGGCTCTACGTGTTCCATACAGGTAATTGAGGTATACGTCTAAATAAGGTATTTGAGATACGGTTCTACGTGTTATATACACTCAGGTAATTGAGATACGGTTCTGCTTGTTACATAGAGGTAATTGAGATACTGTTCTGCGTGTTACATACAGGTAATTGAGGTATGGGTCTACGTGTTACACTTCCTCCGTGATGTAATGGTTAGAGCGTCCGCCCGGAGAGCGGAAGGTCGCAGGTTCGATCCCCGTCCGCGTCATACCAAAAGACGTACAAATATGGTACTTGTTGGTCCCTGCCTGGCGCTCGGCATTAATGGGTAAAACAAGGACTGGTCGACTCGGAGTCAGTTCATGCTTAACTTCATACATGGTATCTCATTGAGCCAGCACTGAAAACCAGCTTGAGTCTGGGCTAGTACAAGCAGACACACATACACACGCATGCACGTCGTCATATGAGCGAAATATTCTTAAGTGTGACGTTAAACCCCATTTCACCTCACCTCATCTTCTAGGTGTTACATACGTGCTGCGTGTTGTGCATACTTCAGGGTTGTTCAAAATATATTTTGGATTTGCAGAATGAACGCTACACCATCTTGGCCGATGGAACATGTACCAAAGACGTCCCAACTGGCGTGCTTCTGCCAAACTGCATCCCGAGTACGTGTATCGGGGTGAAAAGTGATCTTTCTTCATGAAATTTACAGAAATGATTCTTGTGGTCACATTGTGATAAACACAGGACTAAAAGTCGGATTTCACACCATCGAAATAATGCATACACTGTAGGAAATACATGCTAGGACCGGAATTGCGTATGTTTCAAGCTATTTAGGGCATACAATTCATGCAAAGCTATACCTTTGAAACATATGCTAATCGTATATTTCTTTGATGGGTATTTTATAAGTTGGGAAGTACAATATTGGCAAACGCCATTAATAACAACTTCATCGGGTGCCAGTCGAATAGCCCCAGCTACAAAATGCGCCGGAGTTTTGGTCAAATTGCCCCAGGTTTGGTCAAATTGCCCCAGAGTGTAGTCAAAATGCCTCAATATATTTAAAATGATTAAATATATACCATAAATGCATAGTTTTTGTCAACCTCTATATTATATTATTCATATAATATTATATAATAATATTTCTGGTAAAGTTCCATAAATAAATTAACTCGTTAATAACTTAATTCGTTCAAAACACGATTACAGACCAAACAAGGAAATATTCTCTTTGATAAACACTTTGGATCTAGATTTTGTAAAACTCAAATAATCCATGCTCGCCTCAGGTTGGGTTGTAGTGACTTGAACGCTCAATGTTTTGATAAACATATTTCAAATAATCCGAATTGTGCACGTGGGTATCTATTTCGCGAGTTTTACGTTTCGATACAGATTCTTATCACCTGAAGGGTCTGGCAAACCAGGCAGTATTATTATCTTGCATTCGCTTTTGCTACCAGTATCAGTGGTGACATTGCAAGTGTCATGATAGAATAGCCATGTATCTGTAATACAGTAATTGTAACATATCAATGGTCTCCTTCCGTGTAGACGACAGTGCAGACCTTGGCTCAAGCTATATCGGCATTGAGGGAAGCGGGTTGAAATCCGACAACTGGTTGATGACTATCAACTCTGTCAAGCTAACCATGGGCGTCACCGACCCAGGCTGTGTCTTAACCTACTTGGGTATCTTCAACCAGGCAGCAAGTCGTAAGTAGATACTTTACACAGATCGACTTGGGTGAGGCAGTCCAGGAGGTAATGTTCCGATTTCTTTCTCGAAGGAAGGAAACATTCCCTCTTTGCTGCTTTCGGGAGAGAAACACAATCTGCGTTTTCAATATAGAGTGAGTTTTCAATATAGAGTGAGGTTACCCGCAGACTTACAATAGACTGCAATAAATATAAGCCACCACGGTAATGCAAACACCAAACCAAAATGTAACAAAAGATTATTAGAAACCTCTGATTAACCAATCAAATCGAGTAATTTTATAATCTATATTACGATGTAGAATGGGGTTGTTTTGCATCAAATCATTGTCTACACAAGATGGAGGTAATGCCACTGTGGTGATGTAACCACCGAACCATGAGGTTCGATTTGTGCCAGTTTTAAGTTTTAGAAACCTCGTAATGACCAATCAAAATCGAATATCATGTTGTTCTGCTTTAAATCATGTTTCACTCAACATGGATTGTAGTTACTATGAAACATTCTGTTTTTCATCAGCTGCAGATACAGAACTTTACTTCAACGGATATAAAACAGGCATCACGGATCCAGCTGCTTTCGACGTTCCCCTCTCCTGTTAATGTGGGCAGCCACACTTCATCTTGTAGACCCGATTGTCGTCTGTTGGACTTTACAAAATATACAAATATTTTTATATCAATAAAAACTACTTATAAGTATGGCAAGTTGTGTTTTCAATTACAAGCACAACACCACAAGAGTCTCTACCCTTTATACAAGTTCACAGTGCAGTCTAACTGGTGATTTGCATGTATGTATGTATGTATGTATGTATGTATGTATGTATGTATGTATGTATGTATGTATGTATGTATGTATGTATGTATGTATGTATGTATGTATGTATGTATGTATGTATGTATGTATGTATGTATGTATGTATGGATGGATGGATGGATGGATGTGTGTGTGTGTGTGTGTGTGTGTGTGTGTATGTATGTATGTATGTATAGATGCCCACACACAAACGCACGCTTTCATGCATGAGTGTGAAGTCTTCACTTGTCTTACGAGGCGAAGAAATGGTTGGAGGTTTTTAGTGTCATCGTACGACGACGCGAGTAGTTTTTATAACACCAAGCACAGGTTGCTTATGAATCCAACCACTGGACGAAACTGGTCATGTCGTGTCACGACGTGTTATGGCAGACATGTGGAAGACACTTGGCCCATCAGTTAGGGGTGGGTATTGCAGTGATTTTTTATACTGCGAAAGCATATATTGCGATATGTATTGCATTATATTGCAAGATTTGTTTTTAAACAAAAAAATACTTATAATCAAGCTAATGTTTGATTAAAAATGCTTTAGCAAAAGCACAACAAAATCACTATGCTTGATTGAGCTTTAATAAAAACTTTTAATCATGACAAAATAAATAATAGTTGGCACAAATGAAACAAGGAAAAGAACAATTTAACATCAACACAGTGGTTACTAGTTTAAACTAGTTTCTACACTCTCAAAAAGCGCTGAGATGTTAGACAGCAACTTGACCAGGTTAGGCAGAGATCACTGGTCATTAATGAGTAAATATTTAAAACATTCAAATCCATTGCGAAACACTTGAGCAAAAATTAAGAAGACAACTTCAAACCTTGACTTCCGGTGTGAAAAACGGAAATATCCGAAGATTTCCGAGTGTTAAGAAGTTTTCCGAATGCATGTCGAAATACCGGTTTTCGATCAGCGTATCGCAATGCGTATCGATTTCATGTCTGAACCGGTAAATACCGGTAAACTGGTTATATTACGCAGCCCTAGCATCAGTGACAACAAAGTATGTCCAATGTCATTCTCTATTTTTCATTTGCTCCATATGTCCCCGTGTTTTAAGGTGGACAGTTGACTAGCCTTTGCATGGGATTGTGGCGGGTGGGACAGGATACGCACATTTATTTTCGCAAACGCTTTGTATCAATACTATTTAATAGCAATAGCACATTCTCATGATACAGTCGACTCTCCTTGAAGCACACACGAATTTGGAATAGGCGGCGTACTTTTTTGCGTAATATTTTGCGGTTTTTGTGTAAGAGCTGTAGTCACAACCGAGAACAGAGAAGGAAGTAAGTATTATCGTCATCACATAATATTCATCTTGTAGTGTTCCTACAAGTTTATCAGGTCATTGCAGTGGACATAATATAGCTAGAATGTTGTAATCTGTGGCATTAAACCATTCGTGTTTGGTCTGGCAAAACATCTATTTATGAATTGGTCAATTAAAGGTTTTACTACACAATGACCAATAAACAGTAGACGTACACATATTTGTTCAGCCGTAAATCTCAAACTTAACGAACGAGTTCAAATTGACCATGTCAGAACGATTCTAAGATGAATTGGTTCTAAAAATGTGTTGAGGACGGTAAACTGACCCTAATAATTTACCCTTCTGTAGCAAAAGCAAGGGTGTAACAATTGTTCGAACATGCGATGAACTGAGATTGTAGCGAGTTGGAATGACGATGCTTGCCTTTCTTAGTTAACAAGGGTTGCGTGTACATGCATAAATGTGAGCTTACGGAGAGGCATTATCCATAGTGTACATCCAAACAGAAATACATGTAAAGAGCTTCTTATCCTCTGAAACGGCAAATACATGATACAAGCGCAATAGCTGAAAAGTACTTCTGCACAGGTTTCAATTTGCTCCTCCCGCCTACTGAACCTTTCAAATATACATTCAGTGTGTTTAGATACAATTCTCACTGTTCTGATTATAATGCACATGGTCTGACGAAACCTTTGTGAGGACTTTCTGGCGTTGTCCACTGATGGTTACCTCAATACCATTGGAATCTGTTGCAGATAGAGATCCAAGCACTCCATATTCATGTAGAGGCCAATAAACTTCCTGTTAGCATGTTTTAATAACACACACACACACACACGCACTCACACAACCATATATCTATATAGATCAAGGACAGTATATAAAGAGATGTATGTGTATATATGTATATATCTATATATATGTTTGTAGTGTGATGTTGATCTTTGTATGTTGAAAACATTGACAAATATTACGAAATATGCACTGAATGGGCATCGGGTTCAATTTGAAATCTGTTCATCAGATAAGCGGATGCTTTTGGTTAGGAACCTATTTGGATTCTCACTCTGCTGTTGAACCTGTATCGATACGCTTTGCAAGCAATTTTCAGTAGGTTCACTCCTTCATGATGAATCAAGCCAATAAGGTGACCCTACTACTGAAATCCTGCAACAGGGAAACAATCCCGGACGACATGTAAATAGTCGCAAAAATGAACCACGTGACTGGTGTCACAGTCTTTTCATGAGACATCGTTGTGTTCAACATGTTGTTACACGTGGTCACATGTGTTTGACAAAATCAAAAGGATTGCCTTCAACGTTTGCAATTTAAGAAAAAAACAACGACGTTCATTTCTGTCACATCTGGTTTTCTCAACTTTATATGGCACTACATAATTTCAGGGGAAAACCTCAATCTACAATTTTTAACTAACCGTGGTGACCATAGATACAGTTAGATTTCTGTCTCCATATATTCAAAACAATTCTGAAGTTCACCGACAAAACAATTTGCGGAATTCAACAGGCAGTACCACATTTGACGTAACTTGGCATGACACGACCAGAGGATCGAACTACCGACCTTCCCCTCTCCGAGCAGACACACTATCTACTGGACCTTAGCAACGGTCGTAACTTTAAGCATTCGCCAGATTATCGGAACAAGTTCATAAATGACCACGACCATAAATGTCAGATAATGTTATTTTGTTCTAAATATACATGCATTTAATCTTGGCAGACATATATACTTATCTCGTGTAATGCATATGCCCAATGCTATCGAGGCTGCAGGGCACAAGGTCGTATCAAGCTGAGATATGACAAAATTATTAGATAAGATTTTCTAACAATAAAATTTAAAACATGTACTATTAATATCTAGACATTCTGGAGAAAGCATAATTTCAGTTGGAAAATTCAGCCAAGTTATAACTGACTATAATGACTAAATCAAGACAATGTTTATCGGGAAAATGCCTGCACATTCTCAACATCAGCAAAATCCGTCACCTTTTGGTCTATAACACATCTCAGTTACTCATGACAAGTCTTGTAATCTCCAAACTCGACTACTGCAACTCTATCTACTTTAACATTCCTGGACATCTACTTTCCAAACTGCAAAGAAATCAAAACTCTGCTGCCCGAGTTGTTGTCCGTGTTCCACGATATGACAGCATCACTCCCATCCTCGAACAACTTCACTGGCTCCCCATATCCTTCAGAATCAATTTCAAACTTCTCCTCTTCACACACAGCTGCATTTACGAAAATGACTTTCCCAAATATCTGAAGAATCTTGTAACTCTCCATACTCCCAGCACATCTCTCCGCTCCAGCAACTCCCTTCTTCTGTCTCAGCCAACCACCAAAACCACTATGGGTGACAGAGCCTTCTCAGCTGCAGCCCCATTACTCTGGAACAGCCTCCCTATCACTATCAAAGAAATCAATTGTAAGACTCTTTCAAAAAAGCCCTAAAAACCCACCTGTTCACAATATCACTCTCATAGGCTTTTCTTACTCTCTTCTTCAGCGCCTTTGAGCAAATACTATTTGGAAGCAGGCGCTATATAAATTCATTATCATATCATATCAGTAAAATAAACTACAAACATACAAATGACACGAAATAGAAAAATAAACGTACTTAATGGACACACGTGGATTCTGTCGTGTTTCCAGGAGCATGATACTCACAGACATAGGTTCTAAATGTGGACAACACACAATGCATGATTGTTAAGTTAACAGGTGGTTAGAAAGGCAACTTTGTTTAACCATAAATAATACTTGTTGAAAATCAACTATGGTCATCAAATCACAATAACGTCTTTTCGAAGGGCTTGAGTCATGAGTTGCAACGATCCGGCCTACCACGTGTGGCGTCACGTCAACAAGACAACCATATTCCATTGATGCACGTACGGATCCTACCACAATAACAGGTTGGCAATTCCTGACATGAAACCATTCAGTGATCGAAGCTTATGGAGAAGAACATCCTGCTCGGTGTCCAGATATATGTCCGGTTTTACGTCACCGTCAGGCACGCTGACCTCGGTATAGACAGGATGTAAGGTTCAGAACTTTAGACTGAGGCAGTCTACTGTTGATGTGTCTAGGTTTCATTGATAACTGATGGTGCAAGAGGTATACATGAGGCAAGACTCGGCCCCGTCGTTTTCAGGGTGGAAGTAATGTAATGGTATGAGGTGGCTTTACAATCTATCAGAGAACACAACTCGTGATGGTTATTTGAAATTAGAATGCGTAGGCTACTGATGATAATCTTCAATAACCAATCTTTCAAACAAGAAGTAGCTGTGTGAATTTGCCAATTTTTGAATCGGGGTTTCATATTGACAACTCTGGTCGTCCTGGAGTCAATAGGCGTGTAGGAGAACGTATCAGCGTCGGTCGCGTTCCTCAGCAACGTCGTTTTCAGAGTTGAAGTGTAATGGTATGAGGGGTGGTCGGTTGAAATTATAATGCGTAGGCTACTCATGCTAATCTTGGCCGTCGAGCTTGATTTTATAACATATGTACAGAAAAATGTATGTCAAGGACAGGGTCCAAACATGATGTCTCAATACTGACCAGTTCGTGTCACCCACACGTGTAACCCCCCACAAAAAAATGAAAGTGCGAGATATACAATGAATATACGAAGGATGGATCGTGAAAACTTGTCTCCTTGTGGGAGAGAGACAGATTACGAAAGAGTATTATCAAATTTCCTTGACCTCTTAAAAACAATGTCGTCCAAAGGACCGACTTACCTCAGTAGATTCCATGTTACGCAACGTGGGTTCTTATTGCGAAATATGCACTAAATCGTTAGGAACGTGAACACATAATGCCGTAGAGAAATGATAAGCTTAATGTGGTCCGTTTGCTCGAACAAATATTCTCATGTGTTTGCAATGAAGAACTGATAAATGTTGGCTGCAGTGTCTAACCTGAGGTGACATACATCTGAAGTTTTACACACGTTCACAGATTTCAAATATGTTTCACTTTCCACACAGTTCTGTGACCTAACGTCAAACTGAAACGGTACCTATTAACATTAATTGGATAGAACGCTGTTCCTGATTTCATCAGGTAAGGAGGTACAGAGTCGCAGAAACGTATCCAGTGCCTATAAAACTAGCGGCCAGTTGATCACCACCATTCACTCCAACGTCTGACGTCCAACATGCTGCTGCTGCTCCTGGTCATTCTGTCCTGCCTGGCGACCGTCAAGGCACAACCTACACCTTGCTGCATGGAAACCGCTTGGTCAGCAAAAGTGTTTGATGTTCGCGCGCCCTTCCAGGGAAATAACGTAAGTACAAAATATCATGTTTACCATAGCGACATGTTTTTGACAATAGATTATATTTTGTGTGGACAGAAGAGATACGTGTAACTTCAACTTCAACGGTATGGTGTACTCGAGAAACACAAAATAGCAATAATAGTGGAAGATATTCGCATGTTGTTTAACGCTGCACTCAGTAAAAATACAACCCGGCGGTCTGTAAATAATTGAGTTCAGTGATAAAAAAAATCATGAGCAACGATCTACGTAGTAGTAGTAGTAGTAGTAGTAGTAGTAGTAGTAGTAGTAGTAGTAGTTGTTGTTGTTATATTATTAAGTAGTTATATTTAGATACCTTTGTAGTATTTTCACATTGAAAATCTCCCTCATTGTATAACATTGTCTGTAAAATCATTGGTCTTGTATTATACATTTTAGATCAATGCTGACTTCTACTACGACTACGACAAAGCAGCTACTGCCATCCAGTACACTGTGTATGGATTAATTGCGAAGTCAACCAAAATTGTTACGGCCTATCTAAAGGTATCACTATTCATTTGTACATTGGAAATAGTCACCAATTCCACAGTTAGATGTTGTTCGCCATCCTACCTAGAATTCATTGAGGTATGGTTCAACCGTTAACTGATGCTCGTTATCTTGTGGACAGAGCGTTTGTCCACGGGGGGAAGTCGGGTTTCGATTCCTGCAGTAATTATACAAAAAGACGTTTAAATATGGTACTTGCTGTTATCCTGATGGCAGGCAGCATTAGGGTATACAAAAGAAGTGTCGACAATTTGCTGTACTTGCACCAGTGATCGCTCCTCATCTCACCTTTTTGTGAACAGATTATTTGGGTATGGTTCATTCGGGCACTTGTATTGAAGTTTGGTTGCCCCTGATAATTCCTGCTCATTTGGAATTGGTTGCACGTTTTACAGACATGTAATTGTCGTGCGGCCTTCCGTGTTACATACAGGTAATTGATGTATGGTTTTGTGTGTAGCATGCAGGTAATTGAGGTACGGTTCTGCGTGTTACATACAGGTAATTAATGTATGGTTTGGTGTGTAGCATGCAGGTAATTGAAGTACGGTTCTGCGTGTTATATACAGGTAATTGATGTATGGTTTTGGTGTGTAGCATGCAGGTAATTGAAGTACGGTTCTGTGTGTTACATACAGGTAATTAATGTATGGTTTTGTGTGTAGCATGCAGGTAATTGAAGTACGGTTCTGCGTGTTAGATACAGGTAACTAATGTATGGTTTGGTGTGTAGCATGCATGTAATTGAAGCACGGTTCTGTGTGTTACATACAGGTAATTGATCTATGGTTTCTTGTGTAGCATGCAGGTAATTGAAGTACGGTTCTGTGTGTTACATACAGGTAATGGATGTATGGTTTGGTGTGTAGCATGCAGGTAATTGAAGTACGGTACTGCGTGTTACATACAGGTAATGGATGTGTGGTTTGGTGTGTAGCATGCATGTAATTGAAGTACGGTTCTGTGTGTTACATACAGGTAATGAATGTATGGTTTGGTGTGTAGCATGCAGGTAATTGAAGTACGGTTCTGCGTGTTATATACAGGTATCTGATGTATGGTTTGGTGTGTAGCATGCAGGTAATTGAAGTACGGTACTGTGTGTTACATACAGGTAATGGATGTATGGTTTGGTGTGTAGCATGCAGGTAATTGAAGTACGGTTCTGCGTGTTACATACAGGTAATTGAGGCATAGTTCTATGTGTTACACCGCCTGCGTGGTGTAATGTTAGTGCGCCTTTCTGGAGACCGGAAGGTCGCGGGTTCGATCCCCGGGCGCGTCATACCAAACGACGTTAAAATTTGGTACTTGTTGGTCGTTGCCTGGCACTTGGCATTAATGAGTAAAATATGTTTAAGTGTGACGTTCAACCCCATTTCACCTCACCTCATCTCACCTCACCTCACCTTCTACGTGTTTACTGTTACATACGCGCTGCGTGTTGTACATACTGCAGGACTTTTTCAAATATATTTTGGATTTTCCAGAATGAACGCTACACCATCTTGGCCAATGGAACATGTACGAAGGACGTGCCAATAGACGTGCTTCTGCCAAAGTGCATTCCGAGTACGTGTGTCAGGGTGAAAAGTGATCATGAAATTTATAGAAATGATTCATGTGGTCACGTTGTGATAAACACAGGACCAAAAGTCGGATTTCACACCATCGAAATAAATGCATACACTGTAGGAAATACATGCCGGAATTGTGTGTTTCAAGCTATTTGCAGTCTAAGTAAACTTAGACTCAGTATTATTTCGACCTATGACCGTCCAATCAAACGCAAGACGGCCGAACGAATTTAACCAATCAGGCAACGGCTACTTGTTAGAGTTTGGGGGGACTTACAGAACGGTTTTTGTATTTTCTCATCCCTGGTCGCTGACACTGATCTGTCAACAAACGAAAATGCGCATAAAACACAGAGATTTGACCTGCAGTATATACGCTTGTGGGTTTCTAATGCATGGTTACAGTTTGCTTATATTTTTCGCAAGATAACATCCTTGAATATTGACAAAAACGCTATTTTCAGCGACTGTGTACTCATTGCGTGTATCACTCGGAAGCGATCGTGCGGAAAATAGCATTCGGAGTCGTTCGAGTTTTTGAGGTAAAGGTTCAAACGGTATGTGCGAATGTTAACTTTCGCGATTTGGTAAGCTGTGTTCTAATTGGTCAGTCAAAAAAGGTTAGCTCACACGACCTTCTACTAGGTTTTGTTAGACTCAGAATAGCAGTGTAACGAATAATACTGAGCCTAAGTTTACTTAGACTGAAGATATTTGGGGCATACATTTCATGCATCCTATACCTTTGAAACATATGCTCATCGTACGTTTCTTTGAGGGACATTTTAGAAGTACAATGTTGGAAAAGGCCATTAATAACAACTTGATCTATTTCGCTAAAGATTCTTATCAGCTAAAGGGTCTGGCAAAACAGCCTGTATTATGCAAGCTAACACGTCTTATTATCTCTCCATTGTGAGGTGCTTGTTTAGAGGGATTAAAAGGCCGAGTGGTGACATCGCAAGTGTCATTATAGAATAGTCTTCTCTTATAATACAGTTACTGTAACATATCAGTGGCTACCTTCTGTGTAGACGACAGTGCAGACATTGGCTCAAGCTACATCGGCACTGAATCAAGTGGGATGAAGTCCAACAACTGGGTGGTTATCAACGGTTCTATCAACATAACCATGGGCGTCACCGACCCCGACTGTGTTTTAACCTACTTGGGAGTCAACAACCCGGCAGCAAGTCGTGAGTAGATCCTTTACAAAGATCGACGCAGGCGCAGAAGTCCAGGAGGTAATGTTCCGATTTCGATCTCGAAGGAATGAAACATTGCCTTTTTGTTGCTTTCGGGAGGGAAACGCAATCTGCGTTTTCAATATAAAGTGAGGTTACTGGTAGATTTACAATAGACTGCAATAAATATTAGCCATCACGGTAATTGAAACACCAAACCATAAATGTAGCAAAAAGCATTAGAAACCTCCGTTTAACCAATCAAAATCCAGTATCTTTAAAATCTATATTACCATGTAGAATGGAGTTGTTTTGCATCAAATCATTCTCTCCACAACATGCTTTGTATTTACTATGAACATTCTGCTTTTCATCAGCTACAGATACAGAACTATACTTCAATGGATATAAAACAGGCACCACGGATCCAACTGCTTTTGACATCCCCATCTCCTGTGAATAAGGGCAGCCACACGTCATCTTGTAGACCCGATTGTTGGCTATCACAAAATATAGAAATGATGTTTAAATCAATAAAACCTATTTAAAAGTATGGCAAGTTCTGCTTTCAATTACAAGCACAACACCACAAGAGTCTCTACCCTTTATGTATGTATGTATGTATGTATGTATGTATGTATGTATGTATGTATGTATGTATGTATGTATGTATGTATGTATGTATGTATGTATGTATGTATGTATGTATGTATGTATGTATGTATGTATGTATGTATGTATGTATGTATGTATGTATGTATGTGTGCATGTGCATGTATGCATGTTTGCCTGAGTGTGCAGTCATCATTTGTCTTACGAGGCGTGGGTGTGCACTTGTAGACCCGAGTAGTTTTTTATAACACCAAGCACAGGTTGCTTATGAATCCAACCATTGGACGAAACTGGTCATGTCGTGTCATGACGTTTTATTGTAGACACGTGGAAGACACTTGGCGCATCAGTGACAACAAAGTATGTCGAATGTCATTCCCAATATTTCATTTAATCTATATGTTCCCATGCTTTAAGGTTGACAATTGACTAGCCTTTGCATTGATTGTGACGGATGGGACAGGATAGGCAACTTCTTTTTTGCAACCGCTTTGCATCATTCCTATTTAATAGCAATAGCACAACTCTCCATGTAGCAGGCACGAACTTGGAATAGGCGGCGTCCCTTTTCACACATTTTGTGTAAGAGCTGTAGTAAAAACCGAGTACAGAAAAGGAAAAAAGGACTTGTCATCACATAATATTCATCTTGTAGTGTTTCCACAACTATATCAGGCCATTGCAGTGGACATTATATAGCTGGAATGTTGTAATCTGTGGCATTAAAACATTCGTGTTTGGTCTGGCAAACCATCTGTTTATGAATGGTCAATTAAAGGTTTCGCTACACACTGACAAATAAACGGTAAATATGCACATATTTATTCAGCCGTAAATCTCAAACTTAACTTAACTTCAAATGGGCTATATGTCAGAACGATTCTAAGATAAATTAGTTCTAAATATGTATTGAGGACATTAAAATGACATTATTAGTTTTCCCTTTCTGTAGCAAATGTCTAGGGCGTAACAATTGTTCGAACATTCGATGAACCGGGGATTATAGCGTGTTGGAATGACAACACTTGCCTTTCTTAGTTAACAATAGTTACATGTACATACATGAATGTGAGCTTACAGTGAGACATTATTCACAGTGAACACCCAAACAGAAAAAATAACATTTAAAAATCTTCTGATCCTCTGAAGCGACAAATACATGATACAAGCAAAATAGCTGAAAAGTACGTCTGCACATGTTTCAATTTGCCCTTCCCACCTACTGAACCATTCAAATATACATTCAGTCTTTAGATACAATTCTCACTGTTCTGATTATAATGCGAAAGCTTTGTGAGGACCTTCTGGCGTTGTCCCCTGATGGTTACCTCAATACCATTGGAATCTGTTGCCAATAGAGATCCAAGCACTCCATATGCACGTAGAGGCCAATAAACTTCCTGTTAGCCTGTTTTAATAACACACACACGCACACACACGTACGCACACAACCACAACTGAGTCAAAAAAGAAACTTAACAAAATGTAATTTGAAAAATAATGAATACTTTTTCTCTGATGATACATCTATGTATCCGAAATGGGATCCTTATCTTTCGACTCTAGAAAAACGTTAACAAAACCCACACAAACCCATCCATTCGTCGTGCAAATGACGTTAGTGCCAAATCAGGTTTTGCACGTGCAGTCGATCACGTGATCTTCGCATCGAAGTTTTCTTCATATGCACGTGTTTGCATTGGCCTCAAGAATTGAAAAAACACTTTTAAACCACAGTTCTAACGGTACTTGAAATGCCACGATTGTCAAATGTGCAACGTGAACGTGCCGTTGGCATGTTGCAAGCGGGAAGATCAGTTATTGACGTCGCAAGAGCAATGGGATGTAGCTGTCGTACTGTGTATGACTTGCGAGGTCGTCTACAACAAACTGGCACCACTTCTGATCGCCCAAGGTCGGGTCGTCCACGTGTGACGTCACGAGCAGAAGACAGTCAAATCGTCCTACGTCACCTACGTGACAGATTTCTGCCGGCTACACGAACCAGGGCTGAGATGTTTAGAGGTCGACTGTCCTCACAGACCATTCGAAATCGGTTGCGAGCTGCCAATCTCCATTCTCGACGAACATATCGTGGGCCAATATTGACGCCGCTTCATCAACGTCAACGTATGCTGTGGGCCCAACGTCACCTCCGATGCACCCAGAGAGACTGGAATCGAGTCGTCTTTAGCGATGAATCCAGGTTTACCCTCAGATTCGCGGACGGCATGCATAGAGTCTGGAGATGACGTCGTGAACGGTATGCCCAATGTTGTGTACAGGAAGTCGACAGATTCGGGGGCGGAAGTTGCATGGTGTGGGGTGCTTTCTGTGGGAACAACCTTTCCCGACTTCTGGTCATCCGTGGAAACCTCACAGCTGCTGTTTACCGCGACCAGGTGCTCACCCCTGAACTCGTTTCTTTCATGGCCCAGGTCTACAGTTCCAGCATGATAATGCTCGGCCGCATACCGCGATGTTGACACGAAATTTCCTTCAAAACGCTGGAATCAACGTCATGGACTGGCCATCGAGGTCCCCTGACCTTAATCCAATAGAGCACGTTTGGGAAGCACTTGGGAGAAGGCTTCGTGGTCTTAGGAACCAACCTCAGAATTTGCTGGAACTTGGCGCTGCCTTGCAAGAGCAATGGCGCAGAATCCCCAACCACGTGTTCACAAGCATCAGGCAGTCGATGAGGAGGCGGTGTTTGGCAGTGGTGAATGCGCGGGGCGGCCATACACGATATTGAACTGAGAAATTTCGCATTTTTATTCTTGTGACTTGACATTCTGCATACCCATGTTTTAGAACGGCGGTGTATCCTAATGGAACTGATTATGGCACTGTCAGTGTATGTATGTATGTCGTGTCCTTGATCTTTGTATTTTGCAAACGTTGACAAATATTACTAAATATACACTGAATGGGCATCGAGTTCAATTAGGAATCTGTTCATCAGATAAGCGGACGCTTTTGGTTAGGAACCTATTTGGATCTCTGCTGATGAACCTGTATCGATACGCTTTGCAAGCAATTTTCAGTAGGTTCACGCCTTCTAAATGAATCAAGCCAGTCAGGTGACCGTACTTGTAAAATCCTGCAACAGGGAAACAGTCCTGGACGACATGTAAATAGTCGCAAACATGAACCACGTGACTGGTGTCACCGTCTTTCATGGGACTTCGTTATGTTCATGTTGTTACACGCGGTCACGATGACACGGAAGAACAAAGGGCAATCCAAATGGTCGATGCTCAAATAATGGCCAATGGAAAAAATTGTGTTTACCCTTAAACTTTTGGTGCCATTACCGATTATCAGTGTTCTGTTTACATAATTTTGTCGAATGGAATCTTTATCGTCGGAAAATCGAGACTGTGTTATCTTGGACGTTGGCGTAGTATATTTATATACGTTATATTCACAGAAAGTGTTTGATATAAATGGAATTTTCGCCATATTGTTGACCAAATCAAAAGATTGCCCTCAACGTTTGCAATTTAAGAAAGAAGCCACGATCATTTCGGTCACATTTGATTTAAATTTCTTTTTCTGGCACTACATAATTTCAGGGAAAAACCTACATCCATAATTTGTTACCATCAATGGTGACCATAGATACAGTTAGACCTCTGTCTCCGAATATTCAGAACAAGTCTGAAGTTCACCGAAAAAACAATTTGTGGAATGCAACAGGCAGTACCATATTTGATGTGATTTGGCATGACACGACCAGAGGATCGAACTACTGACCTTCCGCTTTCCGAGCAGACACACTATCTACTAGACCTTAGCAAAGGTCGTAACTTTAAGCATATGACGAGATTATCGGAACACGTCCATAAATGACCACGACAGATAATGTATTTTAGTTCTAGATATACATGCATTTAAGCTTGTCAGAGATATATTCTTATCTCGCGTTTATGCATATACCAAATGCTATAAAACTATAAACTATAATTAGGGCTGTGTATTGGCTCAAATTTGGTATTGCGATACATTGCGATACACTCTTCTGTATCGCGATACGTATTGCAATATATTGCGATACACTGTTTTGTATTGTGATACGTATTGCGATTTATTGCGATACACTGTTCTGTATCGCGATACGTATTGCAATATATTGTGAAAGAACAGTTTTTGAGATCCGTCCACTTTGACATTCTTTTACCTTATATTGAATCACAGTATATGTGAGTAACCATTGTGCATTGCATAGATTCTTTCATAGTGCAAGAAAAGGAAAATCCAGAACATTTTTCTGTGTATATTTCTATTTTAAAACAGCAGGGATCGACTCTCACTAAAAATGTAACTGGCCCTCCGGGCTAGTGGATTTTGTATGTTGCTAGTCCTTTCCAAAACTTACTAGCCCTACGCTTTACGAATGAAAAAAACTTTCAACAAGTCTTTCTTTTAATTGTAACTGCTGTCCAAAGGAAAGTTAACGCAGATAAATGTATGATTTCTCATTTCATACATATGACAAATTCAACTGAAACTAGCTTACACCATGTCCTCCATCGACCCACCCATTTATATACTTTAACTTCTTTAAACAGAAAAGGATGTTGAATTTCAAATAATATGAAGAGTTAGAGAATTTACTGTACACATCTGTATTACTCAATAAAAAATTAATTGATGTCACAATCATGTGACATGATCTTGAAGTGCACATTCTAATCAAAACGATGATTTCTGCACCTTTGTCTTTGAATAAAGGTATTATTAACATACCTATTTCATGAATGACGTTTGGTACACATTCACATGAAGAAATGATTTAACAAAACACTAACGATGGGCAAAAGTCACTCTGTATCAGGTAAAGTACACTTTCTTTAGACTAAATAGAATAATGAAAAAAATGAAACATGAGAAATATAACCTTATAATAAGATAGAAGCCAGCGTTTATCAAGGAAAATATCAGCTCGTGAAACATTATTGCCATGTCATACACCATTTAAATTCTTTAGGTCTAATCCAACTGTTGATAAATACCAAAGGTATGTTTGTCATATTATTCAAATAATACAACTTCAACTTAAATAAATATATTTGTAATAGTAATACAAATTTACACACTTAAAATGTCCATATAAACCACGAAGGAGACGTAAACTCCCGCTATTTTAATCCATTTGTAAGATGCCATAATATCCTCTTACCTACTAGTATTTCTTTTATATTTGATTTTTACGTAATCAGAAAATTATTATATAAATATTAATTAAATAAGATGTATGGTTGCCTATTTCCCGATAACCTTGGCTTTTCACCCGGTAACGAGACACAATATTGGGAAATGCCTCCGTTTTCGAAGCTCCGTATGAACAACACTCTAGAAGATTCATTTATGGCGGGTATTGTTCCAAAGCTCTTATCATCAATAATATCATAGTAACCTTGCCAGCAGTCTTTTCGCAGCTGTAAGAAGCGATTTTATTGGATAAAGATTGGTTCCTAATGACGATTTTTCGCCAGTCTGCTATAAGGTTCGTCATTGGTAAAAATCATGCTCGTAAGCCAATCATATTACAGCAATGGATACCGTCTTCATAAACGAAAACGTTTAGACAAAAGTTTTGGGTACAATAATGCTATTTTGAACGCGTTAAGCAACAAATCGCCATATATACGTAAATTATGGAACTTACTGGACGTATCGTCTTAGATGGCGACCAATGACAAAAATTCTTTATGCAAATGATTTCTCATTTAACATCGTGTCCGAGCATGAATATTGAGGTTACTTGACTTGCATAACATGATCGCACGAAAAGAGTGAATGAGTATGGTTTTACGCCACTTTTAGCAATATTCCAGCAATATCACGGCGAGGTACACCAGAAATGGGCTTCACACATTGTGGCCATGTGGGGAATCGAACCCGGGTCTTCGGCGTAACGAGCCGACGCTTTAACCACTAGGCTACCCCACCGCCCCCGCACGAAAAGATGGAAATAGTAACTTAGATGGACGTTTAACAACTTTTATGAAAACTGTAGATTTTATTCATTAGTTTATTCAATTTTAATGATTTCTTCGAAACGTCCATACTTTGCTCTTTGACAATTTTAAGTGGACCCGTTGCCAATTATTTGGTAAGACTTCCGCCCAATCCCCACCCACGACCACCACCCATATAACCTGAATATGCATATATATCGTTTTCCTCACCATTACAATTTAGGGGGTATACGGGCGGAAGTCTTATGTGCGGTGTTGAATGGGTTAAAATTAAAAAACGAAATCTTTGGCGGTATACCGGTACGTCATTAACGTATCGCGATACGCAATTGTTACAATTTCGTATTGCGGTTTACCGGTATACCGGTAATACCGTGCAGCCCTATATAAAATAAACTATATATATACATATAACACGAAACAGCAAACTGAATGCACTTAAAGGACACGTGTGGTTGCTTTCGTATTTCTGGTCATCAAATCACAATAACGCCCTTTTGAAGTCGATATCTAGTGAGGGGGTTGCGTCATGCGTCATATGTTGCAACGATCCGGTCTACCACGTGTGGCTTCACGCAAATTTTACCATTTCTACCGAAGCTTATGCACATCGGCTCGACCATAAAGTCTCAATACGGACCAGGTCGTGTCACCCACACGTGTAACCCCGCACAACTGAAGTAATGCAAATCTACATTGAAAATGCGTTGGGAGGACCGTGAAAAGCCAGATAATAAGAGGGTATAATTACATTACCTTGACCTCAGAAACAATATTGTCCAACGGACAGACATCCCTTAGTACATTTCATGTTTCGCAACGTGGACTCTGATTGCGAAATATGCACTGAATCGTCATGAACTTTAAAACATAATCTCATGGAGAACAGATAAGCTTGATATGGTCCGTTTCCTCGAACAAATATTGTCATGTGTTTGCAATGAGGAACCGTTATATGTTGGCTGCACTGTTTAACCCGAGATGACATGCATCTCAAGTTTACACACGCTCACAGATTTCAAATATGTTTCACTTTCCACACGATTGTGTGGCCTAACGTGTCACTGAAACGCTATCTATTAACGTTGATTGGATAGAACGCTGTTCCTGATTTCATCAGGTAAGGGGGGAAAATTCGCAGAAACGTATCCAGTGCCTATAAAACTGGCGGCCAGTTGATCACCACCATTCCATCCAACGTCTGACGTCCAACATGCTGCTACTTCTCGTCACTCTGTCTTGCCTGGCGGCCGTCAAGGCTCAAGCTACACCTTGCTGTATTGGAATCGCTTGGTCAGCCAAAGTGTTTGATGTTCGCGCACCCTTCCAAGGAAATAACGTAAGTACCAAACGATTACGTTTATCATAGCCACTTGTGTGTGACATTAAATTTTATTTGTGTGGACATAAGAGATACGCTTAACTTCAACTTCAACAGTACAGTGTACTCGAGAACCCCAAAATAACAATGACAGAATGACAGAAGAAGTTCGTTTGTTGTTTAATGCTGCACTCAGTAATATTAAAGCGTTATCGATTTGCCGGCGGTCTGTAAATAATCGAGTCTGGACCAGACAATCCAGTGATCAAACTCATGAGCATCGATCTACGCAATTGGCATACGATAGCATGTGTCAATATAGTCAGCAAGCCTGACCACCCGATCCTGTTATTCAGCATCGGTTAAGGAACACCAATTCGAACCCGGATCTTCATGGGTAGTAGTAGTGGTAGTAGTAGTAGTAGTAGTAGTAGTAGTAGTAGTAGTAGTAGTAGTAGTAGTAGTAGTAGTAGTAGTAGTAGTAGTAGTAGTAGTAGAAGTAGTAGCAGTAGTAGTCGATGTTGTTTTTTTCCCTCATAACATGTCAAAAGTAGTTATATTTCAATACCTAGGTAGTATTTTCAAATCCAGAACAAAACGAAAGTAATTACATTTGTATGTATCTGCTCTAAATATTCACGTTGAAATCTCCCTCCCCCACATTGTTTAACAATGTCTGTAAAATTATTCATCTTGCGTTATACATTTTAGATAAATGCTGACTTCTACTACGACTGGAACAACGGAGCTACGTCCATCCAGTACACTGTGTATGGATTAATTACGAAGTCAACCAGAATTGTCACGTCGTATCAAAAGGTAGCACCAGTCATCTGTACATTGAAAATAGTCACCAAAGCCATAGTGAGATGTTGTTCGTCATCCTGCATAGAATTCATTGAGGAATGGTTCAACCGTTAACTGATGCTCGTTGTTTTGTGGACAGAGAGTTTGTCCAGCGGTTGGAAGTCGGGTTTCGATTCATACAGTAAATTCCTGCAAAAAAGACGTTTAGATATGGTACTTGCTGTTATCCTGATGGCAGGCAGCATTAGGGTATACAAAAGTGTCGACAATTTGCAATACATCAGTGATCTAACCTTACCTCACCTTTTTGTGAACAGACTATTTGAGTATGGTTCATCAGGGCACCTTCATTAAAGGGCAAGTGTTCATGAAAATTTACCTTTTTGTCTTGCACTTTTCATCATAAAAAGTGTTTATCAAGTAGTTTTATATCCAAACCAGTACATATATCAGAAGAAACTAATTTATTTTTTGCTTTATCTCAATTCATATTTTCAACATTTACCGAGAGTTTTATGTCCAAACACACCATGGCTTATGTCCCTTGGTAATGACGTCATTGGTGCCCGACTGATAAACGAATGACATCGTTCTAGACTTATTAGACCCATTTCACGGGGTGCAGGTATATGAGTGGTTCATGTGTGTCTCGATGCACAGGCTACTGTTTTAATCCACCTGTTGCCTGGCCGTCATTTGGCAATGCGGTCAGCTCTACACTGTAATGACGTTGCAGTTTGAAAACAATCTTGGGTATACATTGTACTAAAAGTGTTACCACGTAACCAAATTGTATAACATTCAACCTGAGTCGGTCGCCTTTCCAACAGTATCTTTATTCACAAAAACTAAAACGTATATGCACCACATATACATTGCCATCGGTGAATGTGCCGGCATTCTACGTTTGTTACTAAAATTCCTTCATAAATCTTACGATATGTCCCTCCTCTTCCACCTTCACTTTGATATCGATACCATTCCAAATACATCACGAAGATAAATGCAATTTGCAGTTTTAAACTCTGTTTGAAATTCGTTTTCTATGATATCATCCGCTCATTGTTGATCAAATATACTGAAAATTACATGCATCGTAACTCTCGCCAGTTTTGACACATTACTAAATCACCATTGAATTTATAGTATGCCTTAATTCAAATGTCAAATTTTACTGGGAGATTTGAATTTAGAAGAAAAAGACGTATAATTGTGATCAGCGGTAGTTTTGTTGTTGTATGATCGAATCACCAATGCTCGTTCTGAAACATTGTCGATGAACCGAGAATTCGCTGAGAATGTTAAGGAAAATACGCAAACACAATTAACGTCAAAGTGAATTTTCAGCCATAGTACAGAGCGTTTATAAAATCACGTCACATGTATGCCGGTTATGTTTCACCCATAAAATCAATAATTCAACACCACCTTCCTTACACGAATCCCTGAATTCATTATACAAATCAAAATAAACTGACAAATGGATTTTGTCACCAATTCGAAGTGTTTCAGTGAAATCGAACGAAACGTAACAGATGCCGCGCTGGGAAAGGACCACTTGTTGAAATGTAAACAAAGCCAATCTCAGATTTTATACAGTGTATCAATTCGCCTACTTGTTGCATACACTTGCTCATTAGTTTTAGAACATGCATGGGAAAGGTATCGTAGCAAGCCATAGTTATGTAAAATATGCAAGTAAAGAGCATAGCATTATCAGCTATGACTTGGTTGAATCACTCAGATCAATCCAAAACTGTAAAATATTAAAATCCATTAAGATTGACATAAATTCAAAACGTTTCCTGGAATGAAGTTAAATCTTAGCAATGCAATAACTCTGAGAAATGCCAAACAATCTAGGCAATTCAGGGTGGGAGACAGGGTAGGGAATATCACATCTACTATGTTTACTAATGAAATTATAATTTCACTTTACACACTACGTGTGCTTGTGAAATTTCCAATTTCATGTCATAAACATAGTAGATGTGATATTGGTAGTTCAAAGCCCGGTAGTGTCAAGTATCTTTGACAAGCAGTTGCCACTGCTGATAGTATTTCTCAGATAGAAGGTTCTGAAAGTAGAGGCCTTGGTCCAGTTTCCCAACTTCAAAATGTCTGTGACAGAAGCACCTTTGGCAAATGCCTTTGAAGCACTAGCTCCTCTGACAGAATGAGCTTTGTAGTGTGAAGTGTCAATACCCGCCTCTCGCTCATAAGATTTGTCACCCATCTTGCAATACTTGGGGATGAAACCGGTTTATGCGGTTTCACATAGCTCAAGAGAAGGCCAGACCTACATTCATCTCTCCAAGGTTCTGTGCGTTCTAAGTACACTCTAAGGCATCGAACTACACAGAGTGCAGGGTCCTTCTCATAGGCACTGAAACTCAAGGGATGAGGTTTTGTTCCTGTCTTAGTCACCTTGGTTGGTTTAATCAGGGTAAATTCTACTTAAGTGCCCCTGTCTACCATGTGTCTGATATCCAGGAAGATAACTCTCAAGACCTGCTAGCAGAGGTTAGCATCAGAAGCATTGTCAACTTCCCAGACAAGTTTTTATCCGACAAATAGATATTATCTTTCAATTTTTCAAATATTGCAGCACCAAATCTACATCCCAGGCCACTGAGTATCTGGGCTGAGGAGGATTCTGATTAAAAAATCCTGACATTAATTTCCTGACCAGTGGGTGCTGACCCACATTATAGCCCCCGATAGTGGGGTGAAAAGCAGACAAAGCTGATCTAGCTGTATTTATGGTCCTGTACTGACTATTCTCGTGGTACAAGTGAGTGAGAAAGTCTAAGATAGACTCCACAGAGGCTGAAAAGGGATCAAAACCCCGTTGATTGCACCCGCCAGTCCACCCTATTCCAGGAAGCATTGTAAGCGCCTTGTGTGCCAGGTCGCCATTGGCAGGAGAGCAGCTGTGTAGTCGCCTCTGAAATTCCTCTGGTCTTGATGCTACGCCTGAAACCTTCCATGCCGCTAACACCAGAGTGTTGTTTTCTATCAGTGGATGAGGCAGGTTTTGCGGGGAGTTTAACAGATCCCTCATCTGTGGGAGGAGGATTGGCTTTGTGACCGCCATCTCCAAGAGGAGTGGATACCAGGACTGACCTTGCCACACTGGAGTTATTAAGACCAGCTCCGCTTTGTCCTTTCGGATCTTCCACAGACACCTGCCTATCAGTGAGAACGGGGGAAAGGCATAAGGAATCCCCTGGTTCCAATTCACTAGAAACGCATCTGTTGATTGTGCAAGGGGGTCTGGCCTCCAGCTGCAGAAAGGCTTCATTTGGAAAGTCAGTCTCGATGCAAAAAGGTCCATTGAGAAGGGACCCAGTATCTGGTTGCATTGAGCAAAGATGATTGGATTGAGCATCCAATCGCTCGAGTCGTTGAAGTGGCGAGACTCCCAGTCCGCATGAATGTTCTCTACCCCTGGCAGATAGACTGCTGTTAAGAACAGACGGTTCTGGAGACAGAAACCCCATATCTGCTTTGTGATCTGCAACAGACTGACTGATTTTGTCCCCCCAAATCGGTTCACATAAGCCATGGCTGTCTGATTGTCCACTTGGACCAAAATAGATTGATCTTTGATCCCCTTGCAAAAGGTCAAGAGTGCCAGATGAATTGCCTTCAGCTCTAGAACATTTATGTGCATACTCTGCTCTATCTCTGACCAGCGGCCTCCTGTTGATCTCTGGCCGTGTATTGCTCCCCATCCCTTTTTTTTGATGCATCTGTCTGGAGAATTACATCTGGATGAGCTGCCATGATTGGCTTCCCGTTGAAATTGGTGAGGTTGGTCATCCACCACTTCAGTTCCTCCAGACAAACCGAAGGCAGTGTAATCATTGACTCGTAACTCTGAGAACGCAAAAGCTCCCTGCCTCGAATGCATCTGCAGGTAACGACAATGCAGTTGAGCGGGTAAGATTGTTCTCATTGAAGCTGACAGTTTTCCTATCAAACTTGCCAGTTGTCGAATCCTTACCTGTTTCTTTCTCATCATGTGACGACAGGTTGCTACAATGTTCTCTACCTTCTCCTCTGGTAAGATCAGAGTACGATCCACCGTGTTTATCTGAAACCCCAGGAAAGTGATCGACTGGGTTGGTGACAGAACTGATTTCTTCCAGTTTATGACAAAGCCTAGGGACTGGAGGAGAAAGATGAGGGTGTCCCTGTGTTGACTC